TATATATATGTATGTATGTACATATATATATACATGTACAATTTCACGAATAATTTTCCAATATAATTTTTCTATGGCATTCATATAATTTCAAGAAGACATATTTTTATAACGATTTTTCATATTGTGTATAATTTTATATAATATTTTCATATAATATTGTATAATATATTTGGTATGAGCATTGCAGTGAATGCGGATGAATTAAAGCGATTGGAGACGGCATGGGATGGACGCGATGTTATAACGAAAGAGCAGTTTTTTACCGATATTCTCTGTCATCCGGGAGTTCCGCAGTCTACGCGGACGCGAATTTTTACCAAATTCTGCCAGGGATGCTCGAAACTCTCATTTCAGCAGTTTGTTGTTGGGATTGTTTTATTGACAAAGGCTGATAAAGCGGCCCGAATTGGTTTGTTTATCTTCTGACTATTGGTGTTGTAGCAGTTTTGTTTCATATTGCCTCTCAGAGCAGTATAGTATGCTGTCAAAGCTTTTCCTGTATTTTGATGTCTATGAGAGAAGTAGTTGTTGAGATATTATTATTTTAATTTGCATACTTTAGTTATTTGCAAGAGAAAGCGAATTTGATATCGTAGTAGGATAGTAGATTACCAGATTCGGATTTAAATGCAGCAATTTGATTTCCTGTCAGTGAAAGAACAAATCCTTTTGTAATTTGTTGATTGTTTTTGATGATAACTGGAATTGACACATGCCGGGCCCATATAACAACTTTTTCTTTGTAAATTTGCCATATATGCACTCAATACAGCGTTCAATACAGCGCGTAGGAGGTTGTACTGATGATTCCCACTTGCACCCAGAATTCTGTCTCTGTTTATGGCTAAGGGATGAAACACAGGTTGCTTTCTTGAATGTTCATTCGCAACATGACTTGTAATTCCTACGCCCACCTTCTAATATTCCATCAGCTTGCTTCTTTGCAATACTTGGAAAAGGGACAGTGGGCAGCTTTTCACTGTTACAGGTATTGTACCGCCCCTTGCTGTTTTCTTTCGTGTTTTACAGAGAATGGAATAATACTAACTGTTACAGATTAAGATTATGGTAAGTTATCGTTGATGAATTAAAATTATTCATAATATAAACATGTGTAAGTTAGTAAAAGGGCGATCCGACCCTTTACTTTATTAATTTCGTAGGAATAAATTTTGAGCTGTTTGGAAAGCGATTAACGGCAGCTGTAACGAAGGTAATTTTTTAGAGTTTCTGAGTGATGATGACGAGCTAAAATGTTGGATCGAACAGCCGCCGCAGCTGACCTCACGTCTTTCCGAAATTCACTATAATTTCTATCAGGTTCTCGCTGGCGTCACACATCGTTCGTTTTAATACTGTTTTGGAATATGGTTTTAACCATCGCGCTGTTAAGACTTATTTTGTGAAGGGGCAGGAGGCAGACGGTAGGGGGGAGGGGAGGACGAGAGGAACGGTAAGCAGCATGGATTCAATTACGTGGTTTGGAGTGTTGCGGACTCACATTACAAACGGGATGTCCCAGTCAGATTCAGATTGGCCCATGCAGGCTGTTCCTTTCAGTCCTGTCTTTTAATGCTTTCATTTACTTTCAAAACATTATAGCTAAAATTGCAGTCCTAGGTGCAAAATTGTCTGTTATTTAGTATTATATTGTTTCTGTCCCTCTCGCATTTATGGATTCAGTCTCTTCGTTTGTATTTTGTACTTCATCTCCCTTCATATTTTGGTCTACCCACGGTTTTGGCGGAGAATTTTCTAACTTGAGGTCAGACAGGATGGAAAGCTGAAGTTTTGGGAGGATGTTCTCTATGCGCGAGCCTGGAATTTCAAGCCAAACAAAATAAAATGCTCAAATTTTAGGAAGATGTTTCCTGTCCTTCTCCGACCCCTGAAATTTATATTTGTCCTCCATGTACTTTACGTTCGACGTGATTACGCGAGAAATTTTCTTGTTCAGTAACTAGAGGGGATTTACGGTGGTGTTTCCTGTTAATGTGTGATTCTAAAAATTCAACTCCAGCATCCAAATACAGCCCTCATATGCGGAGGTGTAAAGGTCTTGGGAGGAAATTTTGTAACTCTAAGACTAGGCAAAATAGGAAGCTAAATTTTTTTTTTGAGGATGTTTCCTCACTCTTGAAATTTGATTTATTTTCCAGCGTTTCTCTATCTTGGCATGAGGTTGTTGACATCTTTTTATCTCCGCTAAGACACAACCTCATTGATATACAGGGAAATTTCGCCAAGTATGTGCCCCTGCAGCACCTCATATACTTTATGACTTACATCGTCCGTCATTTGCTGAGACATGTGCCAGACTATGTCTATATTATATTGTGAAGTCAAAAAGAAGCCCGTAGAAACCCGCTGACGCGTAAAGTCTGTTGCTAAATGTTGTGCTGCTGGCTTCTCAGTTTTTTCGAATGCTTTTTTTTTCTCCGCAAGGCAACGAAAAATCCCAAAATACCGGGGATTCCAGGAAATTCAAAAAACGCCAGCAATTTAAATAACAAAACTCTCAAATTTTAAAAATAATGATAATTTGTAGGTTGACTGCTCATTAGCTCAATTAATTAAGCCCACTTATTTCTTATTTTAATTAATTTAGCTCATTTTAAGTAATTAATTTGGCATTACTTGGTGGTGGTCAATGCAAAACTTAACTGTGCCGCCGTATACGTTTTGGCGCTTACGTGGTTGCGAGCACTCAAAAATTCTGTGTTTGCTCTATTCTAAAATCGTAACCACATAAATCATTTTTTTTGAACGGTTCGAATTTACGAGAGGAGGGAAAGGGTTCATCTTTTTTTGTATTAGCGTATCTTCCTATCCAGAAATTAGAGGACTACATGTCTTTGATGGCGTGGCGTTTTCTTATTGGACCGAATTACACGAGTCGCATGTTTGGCTTCAGTTTTTTGAAAATTTCAGTTGACGAAGGCGAAGTGGAAGAACTGGAAAAAGTGTTCGGCTCGATCAATGACACCAAATTATGTAAACTAACCAGAAATGGTTTTGGCGCACTGGTTGGAGGAGCCATAGCCGATTGCTTCATCGATGGCCTGTTTCGTGCGTTCGATGTAAATGGCGATGGGCTGGTGGACTTTAAGGAACTTGTATGTGGCCTTTCGGCATCTTGTCGTGGTCCTCATACTGCTCGCCTCAAGTGTAAGCGCTTTTCCGGGCTTTCAGTCTAAAACATGTTAACAGTGCTTCCATTTTTTTTGGCTAGCGGTCGTTCCATGGTGGAGGGCTTTGAACTGTTAGCACGGCTAAAGCTGCATCGCTTCGCGGCACTGGCTGTTGTTGATTCTAGTACTTGTTTCATTGCCCC